TATGTGATATGAAACTTCTACCCCAAAGTGATATGAAGAGAGAAGTGACAGGATTTGAATTATTCTGAAAGGAATATTCTGGTTGCTAGCTAGTTTATAAAGAAATAAGGGCAGACAGAGGGAGACCTGTTAAGGAGACTATAGGAGCAATTTGGTTGAGAGATGATGGTTGCTTGAACCAATGGTGGTAGTAGTGGATGTGAAAAGTGGTGGAATTCTGTATTTATTTTGAATGCAGGGCTAACATGATCTGCTGATAAATTGAATTTGTGAAAGAAGTCAAAGTGACTCTAAGGGATTTAACCTGAGTAACTAGTACAATGAAGGTGCTATTTCCTGAGATTAAAAAGATCGCAAAAGAAGCAAGTTTAGGAGGGCAATAATCATAAATTTCATTTGGTGTATGTTAAGTTTGTGATGTCTACAGAGCTGCTGAATAATCAGTTGTACATACAACTTTGGATTTTAAGGAGAGATTCAAGCTGCAGTTATAAATACAGAAAAGAAAGACATGTAAATGTTATCTAAAGCCACAAGGTTGAAGATAGAAAAGAGAAGAGGCCTAGGATGAATATCAGGACAAGGTAAGAGCCTGGGGAAAAGAGAGGAACCAGCAAGCAGACTGAGAATTCAGACTGCAGGAAGTATTGCTTCCTCATTTATTGCCTTCAGAGGGCACTGGCAAATGCAGACTCTAGTGGCCCTAAGTGGTTATTTACTTTTTGTGGGATTCATCTGGTCATTTGCCATTTATTCATATTTGACCTAAATCTCAAACTCTCGCTCACTAACTCCCCTCCCTTCATGCCTGCATCACATTCGTTTTGAATGTCATTGGTAGTGTAGCTTCATCTGAGAGTAAAAAGCACTTTTAATTTTACTGTCAAAAGTAATTTGGGGATTCATCTGGTGAATAAAATGGGTGACCAGGTTGGTTAATATTGCTTTTGATCAAATATAAGGGATGGCTATTCAGTGACATCACCAAGTTCGCTATGGTTTATATGCCAGATCTAAAAGCAATGCCAACAGGCATGCTCTAAAATGTTTTGAGCAGTGATATTACTGAAATAACAATTTATTTTCCAAGAGGGCTATATTCAATTAATATGCCATATACATATATGAGTTCTTTTAACTTAACACTATTTTCAATATTCTATTATTTTTCATATACATTTATATAGATACTTAGGTGAATCTTCACTTCTCAGCATAAGAATTCCTGTTTTATTTTATTACACATATATTTTTGAGGTTGGACTTTTTTTATTGATCATACTATTAGAGTTGTCCCAATTTTTTCCCCTTTGCCCCCCACACTGAGCACTCCCCACTCCCTCCAGTGATCCTGTCTCCTTGGATATGCATACGAGTTCTTTCACAACTCCGTTTTCTATACTTGCTTTTAACATCTCCCTGCATGTTCTGTAACTACCAATTTGTACATCTCAAGCCCTTCACCTTCTCCCCCGTTCCCCCAGACCCCCTCCCCACTGTCCACCATCCCAATGTCCTCCATATCTGTGATTCTGTTTCTGTTCTGCTTGTTTGCTTAGTTTGTTTTTTAGATTCAGTTGTTGATAGTTAGGTATTTATTGCCAGTTTATTGTTCATAGTTTTGATCTACTTTTGTTTCTTAAACAAGTCCTTTAACATTTCATATAATAATGATTTGGTGATGATGAACTCCTTTAACTTTACCTTACCTGTGAAGCTCTATCTGCCCTTCCATTCTGAATGATAGCTTTGCTGGATAGAGTAATCTTGGTTGTAAGTCCTTGTTTTTCTCCCCTTGAATGCTTTTGCCAATCTCTTCTAGGCTGCAAAGTTTCTTTTGAGAAATTAGTCTTAGGGAAACTCCTTCATAGATAATTATCTGCTCTTCTCTTGCTGCTTTTAAGATTTTCTCTATTTTTTAACCTTTGGCATTTTAATTATGATTTGTCTTGGTGTGGTCCTCTTTGGATCCAAGTTGTTTGGGATTCTTTGCGCTTCTGACACTTGTATATCTATTTCCTTTACTAAATCAGGGAAGGTTTCTTTTATTATTTTTTTCAAATAGGTTTACAATTTCTTGCTCTTTCTTTTCTACTTCTGGCACCCTTATGATGTGAATGCTGAATAGTTTGACGTTTCCCAGATCATAGGTTATCCTCGATGTTTTGGATTCTTTTTTTCTTCTTGCTATACTGATTAGATGTCTTTTTTTTCCTTATGTTCCAAACCATTGATTTGATTCTTGGCTTCGTCCACTCCACTGTTGAATCCCTGTACATTGTTCTTTATTTCAGTTAGTATATCCTTCATTTCTGCCTGGGTCTTTTTTATGCCATTGAAGTACCCACTGAATTCTTTGAGCATCCTTATTACCGGCGTTTTGAACCCTGCATCTGATAGATTGCTTCTCTCCATTGGGTTTAATTATTTTTTTGCAGTTTTGTTCTCTTATTTCATTTTGGCCATATTTTTTTTCTCCTCATTTTGGCAGCCTTCCTGTGTTTGTTTCTACATATTGGGTAGAGCTGCTTTGACTCCATGTGCTGGTAGGTGTCCTGTAGGGTCCAGTGGCACAGCCTCCCCTATCTCCCAAGCTGTGTGCTCAAGGAGTTCCCTCTGTGTGGGCTGAGTAGACTCTCCTCTTGTAGGTGAGTCTTAGTCTTTAGTGCTGTCAGCAGGTCAATGGGAAAGATTTACCCATTCTAGACTGGTAGGATTGACTGTGACCCCTGGGCAGCAACCACTTCCCTCTGGGGCATGTGGACATGTTTGGGTGGTGCTCCAACGTGGTCTGTAACTGTCTGCTGGGTTTGCAGGCTCTGGGATCTCCCAGGTGGTGCAGACCAACATCAGTCTCCACCTGTGTTGTGTTTGGGGCCTTTAGGTGTAAGCTTTAAAGCAATCTTCAGATGGCTGCTGCTGCTCGTGCCAGAGCTTGGGCCACTCAGTGAGAAATACAGGGGTGGTCTCAGCTATTGGTTGTTTGAGATTTAGGAAGGTCTGAAGCCTGTGCCTGTGCCTTTATATGGAAAAGCCATTGTTACCAGGGTGGGAGGGTTACTTGGATGGGCTTGTAAGTTGGATGGGGTGGATTCCTAGGTAATTGTCAGGGCAAGGCTTACTGTTGAGTCAGGTTGATGGAGGTTCAGTTATGGTGCAGCCTCACTGTGGCTCTGTGTGGGGGAGGGCTCAGAAATTACCACTCTCTGCAGTTCTATCTGGGAGGAAGCTGTCTCCCAGCTCTCGCCCTGATGCCAGGCACTTCAGTTCCTCCCTGTGTGCCACTGGTTCCCTTCAAGCTGCTGCACTGGTACTGGAGCCCAGAGGGAGTGAGTCTGAGTAAGTTTGTGCGTGGTGTGAGGCCTGAGAATCCTGTAGTTTCTTATGCCTACCCAACTCCCACTGTTTTTTATAGCCAGAAGTTATGGGCACTTATCTTCCTGGTACTGGAATCCCGGGCTGGTTGGTTTGGTGTGGGACTGGGATTCCTTACTCTTGAGATATCCCTCCATTTTATACTCATCACACGTGGGTTTAGGACCAGCCAGTTCCATGTCTCTGTCTCCACCCTTGTTCCTCCTACCTGTCTGGATGAATGTGGTTTCTTTAATTCCTTAGTTATCACACTTCCATACAGATTGATTTTCTGATGATTCTGAGTGATGGTTGTTCTATATTTTAGTTGTAATTTTGCTCTAGTTTTGCGAGGAGGTGAACTTCATTTACCTACACCACCATCTTGATTGAAGTCTCCATCAGCCTAAGAATTTCCTAAACAACTGCTATTCTCATTTAAGGTGATTTTCTTATCAAAAGTAATTGATATTTATTTTAATGAGTAAAAGTTGTACAAAAACACATTTAATAATATTTTCCAAACTATTACAAAAATTTCTGATTGAAAACATTGCAGACTTATAAACAAACATTTTTGGGTATCTGGCTAATACTAAGTTTGTAACAGATGTATCCCCTGCAGATTATGCCAACTATTTGTCCACTGAACAAATATTTATTAAGTTCTAGCATGTTTCTGAGGCATGTCATGTTGAGAAGAGTTTACTCCTTTAAATCCTTCCAAGTGCACCCTGGGAGAGAGATTTATCTTCATAAAGAAGAAAGCCAAAATAGTGCTACTGACTTTCTCTACATATCTGGAGTTTCCTGGGGAGTTTCACCATGTGGAGAACCCATTTCTGACTAGACTAAAGGAAGACCAGAGAAGCTGGTGAGGCTTAGAGTTACGCTTTTCTGTTTACTGCACCTAGGCTCACACCATTAACAACTTACCCTGTGTCACAGTAAGCTCCTTTTCTTACTTAATGACATGGTCCTATTGCTGTTCTTGCCTCTGACTTTACCTAGTCTTAGGGATAATGGGATGTAACAGAGATGGCAGATTTTACTTTTCTTTAAGGGCTAACTACAGTTGCTGTTCTAGGTTCTAGAGATGGGGATCCTGTCCTCAAACAATTTATTACCTTTTAAGGAAAAAGAAATATCTGTGAGTAATTACATCAGAATATGATAACTATTGTGGTGGTAAAAACTCAAGGTACAAATGGGAATTTGAAGGGAAACCCTAAGACATCCCTGCTTCACGAACAAGGCGCTGGCACTACTTAAAGAGAAGAATAAATTCTCCAGCAAGCTCTGCATGATGAGACAGATGTAAACTCTTGGAAACTGAGCTGTTTTTACTTTGGCTCTTAGTATTTTAGCTAGTTCTGCTTTCTCAAAGCTTTTTCACTAGCTTTTTTTCTGATACTTCATTTTGAATAAAATCTAATTTTCATTCTAGACCTTTCCCTGTGAAATATTTTATAGTCCCCAAATATCACAATCACGTTGAGGAAGAACATTGTAATTGGTTCATTGTTCCTCACAAACTTGGTGGCTGGCCCCATTTCTCTCGCTAATATTGACATTAATTGCCTAACGGAGGCAAGTGATTTTTAAATGTAGGTTTACATGTTTCTCATTAGATATGACAAACTTACAATGTTTTTCATGTGTTTCACTAGTATAGTCAGCTTCGCATCTTCATGTGATATGACTAACTGCACTTTAGGCATCTTGTCAGGAAACTTCTCACCTGATAAAATAATAGAATTTCAGTGGGTTAAATTGTAAGTGAATCATCAGGGGGTAAATTAAACATTTAAAGACTAAAACAGAACCAAATAGACAATATACAAAAGAAAGACTCTACATATAGTGCTAAAAACGTAATACTTTCTAGGAAATTGGGTAGGTTAAATATGAAATTTTTATCTAATTTTCCTTAACAAACTTTTCCCCCCTCATATTCCATGTTTTGTTTTGATTGATGCCATTATTTTCCTAATTATTAAAGCTTAAAAGCTCAATGTCATTTTTAGTTCCAAATTTCTCCTCAAAGCTAAGTATAATGAACTTAAAATATTAGAGAGCATAGAAGTTGAAAGTGTTGGTATTAGAAGTTGGTGAGTCTGCGGTTCAGATGTCAACAATATACTTAGACTGCCATAATGCCTAAATTAATCAACTTACATAACGTGGAGATAACAGTTACCTACTTCAGGGTAGATGAGATGATTAACTGATAAAATTCAAAAGTTTTCACAATATAATCTCTCAATAAACACTTACAGTTACTGATACTCTATTTCTATACATTTATGCTCACCTCTTCCTTTCTAATTCCATAGCACCTAGTTTAGACCCATATGGATCTTTTTCCTGAGCTACTAGAACATTCTCTTCCCATCCTCCAGAACCCAGATCTATTTGTACACAATTACCAGTATAATCTTCCTACAGAAACTTTTATAACAGTACTCTTTTGATCAAAGTACTGTTCACTGTTCTCCATTGCTTATGAAAAAAAGTATGAATTTCTCAGCCTTGTGTTGTAGCTTCTTGAATGTTTTATTCCCCACTATTATTCCATACTGTAGCCTGTGTGTTCATTTCTACAAAATTGCTCTGCTATTTTCTTCCAGTCATTTCTCATATTATTTTCCCTTTTTAAAAAAATGATCTTGTCCACCACATTTGGCAATTGAACTTTTATCTTTCTACCAGGCCTATTAAAAATGCAAAACAGTTTCTCTGGTCACCTCCTTCTGAACCTTCATAAAAGAGCCTATCACTTAAAATTTATATTGTAATTATCTTACATGTCTCAATCTGCTTTGTGGGTTAAAATCTTCCTTAGGGCCTACTTTTTTCCTTACATCTCCAAGAAATACATAAAACAGTACTTGCTCCATAATGTTACAATAAATATTTATTTAATAACAATAGTAACCACAATTTTTGTTTCAAGTTATATCATTCCATTATTAATATGAAGACTTTAGTTTCTTAATTAAAACTTTCCAGTTTATAGCCCAAGTGTTAAGCATAATTACAATTTTTCTAATATTTCTCTTGGTAATCACTGTTTGTTTATTCTTTGAGGGAATTTAGGGAGAAGAAATTTATTAGTAACAAGGAATTTGACAATGTTCTGTTGTGGGCTCATTGTGGTCCATAGTGAAATTGCTGATAGTCAGTCTTAGCTCTGTAATTCTCTCTAACATTTAAAAATTAAACATAAGCTGTGTGTTTCCTCTCCCAAAGCCTTTTACATGTTTATTAGAATAGTTCACATACTGTAAGGAGGTAATATTAATTTTATTAATGTAAATTACTGACAATTAAAATCAACATTTTGAGTGTTTTTTCACAACTGAAATGGTAATTAGATAAATATAATAAAAAACTTTATCCCTTAAAATATCTTGATACAATGACCGGGAGATATTGTTAATTACAGATACTATTGGGATAGTATCTCTAATTCTGAGTGTAGTAGTGAACTTGAATTTTGTAGGTAAATTGAATTTTGTAATAAAAATATAAAGTGTTGAACTTTTGGTGTGAGCATGCTGAAAATGCTGAAAAGTTTTTGATGTACATTTAAAATTATTTTTGAGTTAAAGAATGAAAATATTATTAAATGGAAACTCAATGTGCTTAAAGAGAAGAGTTTAATTCAAAGGTAGGAAATCTGCATAAATTTATGATGGAGTGTCTAAATGCTAACCAAGTTAAGTAAAATGTTACTTGAATTGACCGAAGGTGATATTGCACCTAAAACCTCTCAAGCAAAATTTGTAAGCACAGTTTCCATCAAAAAATACCAGAGTTCAGAACCCAGTGAAAATTCAGGCCACTAGGAAGAAGTCTTAGTAATCAATATGGTTATAGTAGAGGTATTCAGTATTTCTAGAACTCTTACTATATGGCAGAGTTCTAGAGCCATATAGATTGAGCATAGAGATTTATGCACATGAACTCACTAAATCCTCACAGCAAATCTATAAAGCTTGTGTTACACCTACTTTACACATGAGGAAATTCAAACATAGTGTCCAAGGTCATGCAGACAATATATGGTTAAATGATCTCTAAAGCCTATGTTTTTAAATGTTTAAATGCTATAAAAGGGCAGCAGACAGGGGGCAATAACTTAAGGGGAAGAGTTTAAATGAAAAATCTAGAGGGAGAATTTTAAGAATAACTTCATATGGACAAGAAGATATTTTGATTTTTTGTTTCTCGTTAGTCTGGGTGGTCTGATCATGCTTGATCTAGCTGTTTATAGTAACCCAAAAATTGTTAAAATATTAGTGATCCTAAGGATGATTGAGATGAAATGCGTGAGTGCAGGGCTCCACAGTGGTTAATACAGGGCTTATTATGCATAATGTGTCCATTAACGCTAAAAGTAGCATTTGAAAATTTAATGTTTTTCAGATGATAATATATTCATATGATTCAAAAATGAAAATGTATTTTAAAAGTATACAGTAAGTAGTTTTTCTCTCATCCTAACACCCATCCACCCAGTTCCCCCACATTATTATTTTTTAAATTTTATTTTAATTTATTTTTTCAAATACATTTGTCTCTGCCTACCCCCCACCACTTTCCCTTGCCCCCTCCCTCCTTCCCTCCCTCAGCTCTTCCCCTTTGGTTTTGTCCATGAGTCCTTGCTATATGTTCCTTGACTTTCCCCTTCCCTTCCTTTTCCCCGCAGTTTCTCATATGCCCCTCCAGAGGACATATAACCTTCCAGAGTTTCTCCATGTAAGCAATTATGAATGAGTATTTCCCCCCCAACAAAAGGAACAGCATATTTCCTATTCTACACAAAGATCTTAGAAATGTTTTCATATCAATAATACAAATCTTTATTTTTTAAAAAATATAACCTCATATGATTCCATTATGTGGAAATAACCATAATTCATTTAACCAGTTCCCTGTTGATGGGCACGTGGTTTGTTTCCAGTGTTTCCAGTTTTTAGAAACCATGCTGAAATGAATAACCTTGTATATGTGTCATTTTGTACCTGTGCACAAGTATCATAGGATGTATTTCTAACAGGAAAATTGCTGGTCAAGGGTATTTGCATATGTAATTTTGATAAATGTTGCAAATTGCCTTCCATAGAGGTTGAACCAATTTGCATTACCACCAGCAGTGTATGAGAGTGTTGGCTGATTTGTATCCAAGCTTGTTAATTAAATTTTTGAATTTCTGCCAACCTGATGAATTAAAAATGGTATCAGAGTAATTTTAATTTGCATATTTCTTATGAGTAAGGTTGAGGAGCCATTCATTTGGTTAACAGCTACTTGAATTTTCTTTTTTTGTGATTTTTTTTGTAATATTTTGTTTGGTTGTTGGTCTTTTTCTTACTAATTTCTAAGATGGTTATATGTAATATAACCAACATTTTGTTTGTGATAAACTGCAAATATTTCACCCATTGTGCATTTATCTTTGCATTTTCTTGCTTTTGCTATAGTTTTTTTTACACCATGCAGGATTTTTATGGCTTCTGTATTTGTAGTCACAGCTAAAATAGCTCATCTCAAAATTATAGAGGACTTTTTCCCATGTTTTCTTTGTCACATATATGTTTTCATTATTTACATTTAAAGTCTTTCATCCTTTTGGCATTTATCCTGTCATATATGGAAAGTATGCTATCCCAAAAATATTTATTGAATTTTCCCATACTGGTTTTGCCACATATTAAATTCCCGAGTGTATTTACCTATATTTATGGACATTCTATCATGTCCCATTTATTCATCTATTTATGTGCTGACACCACGCTGTTTTAATGAGGCTTTGTAATGTGTTTTTAATATCTGGTAGGGTTAGTCTCAATTCTTTTATTTGCTCTTGTTAAGTTTTCCCGGCTTTTCCTTGTTATGAATTATAGAATTAGCTTATCTATTTAAAAATAAAACTATTAATATTTTTAAAGACTATATTTAAAAATTAAATTGGAAACATCTGACATCTTTATGATGTTGAATCTTCCTATCCAAAAGCATGCTATGTCTTTCCATTTGTTCAAGGTATTTTTTTCATATCCCTAGTGTTGTTTTTAAAGGTTTTTTTTCCTTTTTCCTTTTGTCTTGCACATTTCCTGTTAAATTTATTTCTAGTTATTTTTTGTGCTGCTATTGTAAATGGGATCTTTCCTCTATTTCATATATATCACTTGTGATTAATTTTTAGTTGATTCTTATTTTCTAGGTATGCAATCATATTACTGGCAAGCAATATCAATTTTGTCTTCTTGTCAAAGTGTATGGTATAATTTATTTTTCTACTCATTTAGTCATTTTGCAAATATTTATTGACCTTTTATGAAAAGGGCACTATTCTAGGTCTTTGGAACAGATTAGACAAAATTCCACTTAGTATTTCTACAATAGTAAGGGAAGATATAAAAAAGCAATAAACACAATAGATAAGTAAAATTTATAATACGTTGAATATTATAAATGATTTAAAAAATCTAGAACAGGATAAAAGCTTTGGGTGCTGCCCGAATAAGACAGGTGCAATTGGAGCTGTGGTGATCAGTGTACTTCTCATTGAGAAGGTAAACTTGAGCAAAGTCCTGAAGGAGGTGAAGGAGTGAGCCCCATGTTGGCTAGTACTTTCAGCAGAATGTAATCATGAAGATCATAGACGTATGCTCTGTCATGCCTGATGTAGTCTTTGGATAGCCAAGATAGATACATTTTCTCATGTCAAGG